CTTGAACTCACAGAGATCCAGATCCATCCACCTGCCTTTGCCTCCCAAGTGCTGGGACTACAGGCGTGCACCACCACGCCCGGCTTCTACCTTATTTTTTTAATTTATCTTGATAGGCTTCAGTTTTTCATATGAATCTTAGGAGTACCTTAAATTCCATGAACATAAAAAAGTTTCATAAAAATTTTTATTGGAGGCTGGGTGTGGTGGCGCATGCCTTTAATCTTTTTGAGACAGGGTCTCCCCTGTAGCCCCAGCTGTCCTGGAACTCACTATGTAGACCAGGCTGGCCTTGAACTCACAGAGATCCGCCTGCCTCCACCTCCCAAGTGCTGGGATTAAAGGCGTGTGCCACCACACCTGGCTAAGCTTTCTTTTTTGTTTTCCAAAGTGTCATTTTTTACATCAGCAATAGACATTTTGTTACATTTATTCCTAAATTTCTCATAGTTTTTGTTGAAATTGTGTGTTAACTTTAAAAACTTTCTTACAGTGACCGGGTTCACAGTTTGATATACTGAGCCTGTACCCTCTAATCTTGTTTATTAGTCCTAAAGCCTTCTTTCTAGGTTTTCTTAGATTACTGATGTAGACAACATGAAAATACTGTCAGACCTGCTTCCCCATTCTCCTATTTTCTGTTCATCCCTCTGTGCTACACTCTGGGGACTTTCCTTAGCTTAAGTTTGTATTTGTTTCCCTCAACTGTATTAAGGTGTTACCTGTTGTATACAGTGAGATTCTAATCCCAGTGGCTTATTTTTCATTCCTAGAGATATCATTTGGTTCTTCAAGGTTGTCATCCCTTTTTTTCCTTATGTTTTTCTAAATTATTTGTTATTTTATGTGTATAAGTGTATTGCCTGCATGTAAGTGCACCCATGTCATGCAATGCCTATGGAGGACAGAAGAGGGTGTCTGATCCCTTGGAACTGGAGTTATGGATGACCATTAGCCGCTATGTGGGTCCTGGGATTCGAACTCAGGTCTCCTGTAAGAACAGCCAGTGCTTAACTGCTGAGCCAGTGCTCTTAACTGCTGAGCCATCTCTCTAGTTCCTTTCCTTATGTTTTTATTTCCTCTCTTTTATGTCATTAATTATTACAAACATTATTTTATTATCTCTGGTCAACAGTGTTATTATGTGACATTTTAAAGCTGATTGTGTGAATTTGAGTATCTGTGCTGACTCTTGCTCAAGGTGGCTTATTTCCTTGTGTAGTTCAGAATTTGGCAAATCAAGTTTGGTCCAAGTTAAGGCTATGTGTTCCTAGTGAAGTTTTGTCTAACCTCTTTCAGGGACCCTGGCATACCATCTCAGAATCACTTCATATGCTCATGTTTTTGAACCCTAATTCCTTCTTTACCACTTCTCGCTGTTGATGTGTAGATTTTTCTGGCTTGTCATTTTACTGAACATACGGTCATTGCAACGGTTTGAACAGCTCTTTCCAAACTCATGTTGAGATTTAGTTGCCATTGTGATGTTACTAAGAGGTGAGACCCTCAGGTGATTAAGTCATAGGGGCACAGTCCTCACGAAGAGTGTTACTGTGAGAGTGGGATAGTGATAACAGAGGAGTGTGATGCCATTTTTCTCTCTTTCTTGCCACATGATCCCTTCTACCAGGTAATGACACAAGAAAGGCCTCACCAGAAGGGTCCCTTGATATTAGATTTCTTACTCTCAAAACTATAAGCCAAATAAAACTCCATGTATCTAATTTGCTTGGTTTGTCATAATCTGTGACAGAACAGAAAATGTATGAAGGTGGTCATGTTTCTTTTTAAACATCTATTAAATTTTATGTATTTATGTACTTGTGTGTGTCTGTGTGTGTGTCTGTGTGCATGTGTGCATGCCAGGGTGAGTATGTAGAGGTCTTTCTACCATGTGAGTCCTGGAGATTGAACTCAGGCTGTCAGACTTGGTGGCAAGTATCTTTACCCACTTGGCCATCTCACCAGCCCAGTAGGCATATTTCTGTGCGGACTTGCATTTCTGACTCCCGCAAGCCTCTGTTCCTGGGTGGAGAGTCTTGTTTCTACATAGTCATTAAAATCCAAGTCTCCAGATTACTCATCAGTACCCCTTCCCACAGGATAACCACACAGTCCTGTCACACGTTTACTGCTGTGGGCTTTTTTCTCACATATATTTTATTAGCGTGTATTGATTATGTAAGACTTCATTGTGACATTTTTATAAACACTGCTATGATTTTTAAGCCCTTCTTTGATTCTGACACTTGGGGATGCTGTCAACTCCCATTTACTTAACTATGCATTTCAAAGAATGTTGCTGTATTTTTTAAAGACTTATTTATTTTGTTTTGTATGTATGAATGTTTTGCCTGTATGTATGTATATGCACCAAGTGTGTGCCTGGTACCCTTGGAGGCCACAAAAAGCCATTAGATCCCCTAGAACTGGAGTTCCAGATGTGAGCCTCCATGTGGGTTCAGGGAACTGAACCTAAGTCCTCTGTAAGAGCAGCAAGTACTCTTAACTACTGAGCCATGTCTCCAGCCCCAACTTGCTGGATTTATAATTGTTTCATAATGGATGAATTTTCAGATTATCTTGCCATTGATGTTTCTGGGGGCAAAAGTCTCACTTGTTTTTTGCCTTTGTTTATATGACATGCTGAACAATCTATCTGTCAATCTTCTTTATGGAGTCTGTTATTAGAGACATGCTTGCAAAGGCTTTCCCCAAACAACATTATTTACCTGTGCTTATTTTGGTGGTTTTGCTTCTTTACATTTAATATTTAAACCACATGGACTATATTAAATTCAAGGACGACCAAGCCTTTCATATTAGCAATAAAACTATCCAAACAGAACGAAACAGAGCTATAAGCTAAGCACATCGCCTTTTACCAATAACTGAGTCACAGGTTTAGCACAACTGTCATTCAGCCACAAGTTGATGGTTCAGTGAAGCCAGCAGGGATCTTTATCACTTCCACCAGCTGCCCTGTCCAACCCAGTGCTCACAACCCAGTAAAACTACACTCACCTTAAACCCTACAAAACAGCCATCTGAAGGCACCAGGCAGTGCTGTGAGACTCCTGCAAGCTGAGATGTACCTTCCCCTCAGTTTGCATGGAGAAAGCAAGGGAAGGACAAGCATAGCCAAATGGGCTCTAATTATTGGAAGAATGTTGAATGCATTCTGCAGAGGACCACTGACAGTTCTGGGTGTGTGTGATGGCTAGCTAATCTTGGTTGTAAGTTGACACACTTGGGAAGAGGGAACCTCAACTGAGATATTTCTTCCATCAGACTCTCCTTCAGGCATATCTGTAAGGCATTTTCTTGATTGCTAATTGATATAGGAGGGCCCAGCTCACTGTGGGCAGTGCCATCCTAAACAGGGTCGGGCTATATAAGGAAAGTAGCTGAGTAAGCCAGGGGAAGCAAGCCATGGTCTTTGCTTTGGTTCCTGTCCTGGCTTTCCTCAATAATAGAGTGTAATCTATAAGCCAAATAAACCCTTTCCTCTCCAAGTTGCTTTTGGCCAGCTTTTATCACAACAACAGAAAGCAAATGAGGACAGTTTAGAAAGCAGTTATGGAAGAAAATCTCCACAGTCCACAGTGTGTGTGGGTCACATGAGCAGCTGGGCCTGAGGGAGGACCAGGTCTGCTCTGAGACTGAGCCAGAGGGCCTTTCCACCAGCCTGAGAAATCATCCCAGGGGACTCAGGACAGTCTTGGTGAGGACCCCAGTAGAAGGGCTGGCTGTGTCCAGGAGACAGTGGATATATGCTAGACTCTGCCCTCATACGTCGTCCCTTCCAGCCTCAATCTCTCCATCTGTGAAGGGTCAGGACTTGATCTGGTCTCAATAAAAGGATCTGAATTAGAACCCAGACATTTTGACTTCCAGGGCCAGTCACCGTCTATTCCGAGTGCTCACCATTCATCCAACTCTGAGGCAGCACATTATAGACATGATCTTTTGCAATCCTCATTAGCTTCCTATGAGGTTCATATTGTCATACTGATTTTGCATTTATTAAATTCAGCAAATATTTATTGTGCCAGTTTATTAAAGACCAAGTGATTTGCTTGAGAACTCATAGTAAAGGCTGAGTCACAATTCAAATTAGCTCTGTCTTTCCTGGATTTACTTACTACATTCGGTTATTTTCTGGATTTACTTACATTGAGTTATTCATCCATCTACTGACCCACCCACCCTGCCATCATCCATCCACCCACCCACCCATCTATTTCCCGACCCCTTTCCCTATTTAATCATCCCTCCATGCACCCATTTCTCACTCCTATTCATCTATTCGTCCATCCATCCATGCACCCATTTCTCACTTCTCTCTAACCCTCCATCTATTCAACCTCTCACTACTTCCTCTCTATTCATTCTCCCATCCATCCAGCCCTCTATTTCTTGCCCCCTCCTTCTCTCTAGCCATCTTCCTGCATCTCTCACTCTCTCCTCCCCAATCATACAACCAGCCACCTATCCATCTCTTTCCTTCCATTCCTCTATTTCTCACACCCTCCTTCTCTCTAATCCTCATTCATCCATGCATCCATCCATCTCTCTATCCTTCCCTCCCTCCTTCTACCCAGCCATATGCCTATCTTTTTCCCATCCAACAATACTGATGCTCATCTGTACAAGCCCTGGCTGTATATGTACAGCCTCTTCCCTTATGAACTTTCCTCCTCCATCTACTCACCACAACATATCATGTCTCCACACATTTCAGATGCCTCCCACTCACTTTTGTTTTGTAGACCTTAAGCACCTTCATAAACTTGAACTCTTTTCCAAATGCAAATCTATACCTCCTTGCTCCTTAAAAGTTGACCCTGAGACCCCTCCCGTCTCCAAGACATCTTCCATGACTTCCATCTTCAAGAGATTCTGATGTTCAGAATCCTGTCCCCTTCCCCATGAAAGCCATGCCCTTCCCACCAGAAAACCCATTTAAGAGTCAACGATAGGCATCAGGTGGTCCTTACCAGGTTTCCAACCTGCAGCATCTCCTCAAACTCAGTTGTCATATTGTAGTGCTCCAGCGCCATGAAGAGTGTGTTGAGCACGATGCACATGGTGATGGTGAGGTCGGCAAACGGGTCCATGACCACGAACTTTACCTTCTGCTTGATGGACATCCACAGCGGGCAGCACTCCCAGATCAGGTAGCGCTGAGCAAAGCGGTTCCAGCATGGCGGACACTTTCGGTGGGACTCCTCCAACTCTGGGGGCAGCCAAGGAGTTAGCTGTGTTTGTTGATTAAGTCGTCTACATCTCGTGGCATTCTAGAAAGGGTGTGGGACTTGCACGGGGAGCTGATAGGACACTTTATAACAGTGGTAAGGCGAGAGAAGATTAATGGAATGGATGGCCTGTGTCCCAACTCTCTACTCTGGAAATGTGGTAGGAGAGGGCTGCAAGGACAGGAAACTAAGATGGATGTGGAGAAAACTGGGATATGATAGATTTGGACCACTGCAGGCTCACATAAGACAATAGTCTCCCATAGCTATGGGCATGCTCAGAGCAGGACAGCCTGTAAATGATGACAGGAAGTAGAATAACCAAGTTCTGATATGAGGATACCAGGTACAGAATATGAAAGAGCAGATATAGATATCTGAGATATGCCAAGAGAGACAGGGGAGTGGGACCAGAACAGGCCATAAGACACAAGCATATACCTGGGACAGGATGGCACAAGATGGGGGTACCTGGCTTGGCCCAGAAGGCATGTGGGGTTGGGACCAACTGAGATGGATAGAGGATTGCTCTAATAAATAGTCTGATTATACATGGGAATGACTGGGAACAGGCTAGAACAGGAAAGGCATACAAGGGATAGGGTGGTTCTAGACAGACATGGGTATGCTTGGGAGAGGAGGGGATGAGATGGAGAAGGGACTGGGACAGTCCAGGATGGATGTGGGAATACTCAGAGAAGAAACAGTGGAACTAGAGGAAAAGAAACTTAAGTACAGGCAGGGACATTCACAGCTAAAGGACAGAGATGTCTGGGAGAGGTCAGGGGAAGTCCAGAGGAGTTGTGACAGACAGGGTACTGTGGAGGCAGGATGGAGATGAGAGGGCCTGTAGGAGTGGGGAAGCTTGGATGACACTGGGGACACTGACCTTCTAGGGCGCTGGTGAGGACACTGACGGCACTGAGTGCCCGCTGCCGTGCTCCTGGCTCCTCAAAGCCATCTGGACATGGAGCCTGGGGCGTCAACATCTGGGGCCCACCTGGCTCCTCTGATGGTGTGGTCTGCATGCAATCAGGAGACATGTGTCAACCGAGGGAAGGTTCTGCCTCATCCGCAAACCTGCTGGGCCTGGGTGGCTGGCCTTGGCTCAGGCTGGGAGAGTCTCAAGGGAGCAGAATGGAAGTCTTCAATTTTAGTTTTGTGTTTTGTTTTTACATTTTTTAAAACAATTTTTAAATTTATTATTTTTCTTTTATGTGTATGCATGTATTGCCTGCATGTAGGTCAGTGCACCCGTGTCGTGTAGTGCCGGGGGAGGTCAGAGAGGCTGTCGGATTCCCTGAGACTGGAGTTACAGACAGTCGTTAGCTGCCATTTGGGTGCTGGGACTCGAACCCAGGTCTTCTGCAAGAACAACCAGTGTTCTTAACCGCTGAGCCATCTCTCCAGCCCCTTGCTTTTAAATTTTTTAAAAAGTATATGTATGTATGCATGTATAGGTGTATGTGGACACATGTATGTCACAGTATGTGTGTGGAGATCAGAGGAAAACTTGAAGGAGTTGGTTCTCCCCTTCCACCACGTGGGTCCTGTGGATAGAACTCAGGTTGTCAGGCTTGGCAGTAAGCACCTGTACCTGTTGAGCTATTTTGTTGGTCCCTTGCTTTGTTTTGACACAGAGTCTCATGTAGCGCAGGCTGGCCTGGAATTTGACATGTAGTTGAGGATGACCTCGAACTCCTGATCTTCCTGATTCTACCTCTTAAGTGCCAGGATTATTCATGTGTATCATCACACCCAGTTTATACGGTGCTGGGACTGAACCCAGCACTTTGTGCATGCTTGGCAAGCGTTCTACCCATTGAGCTATGTCACAGCCCCCAGGGAGGAGGTCTTGATGAGACATTAAATGCTGGACTGGGAGAAGCTAAGTGCAACCCTCCTCGGCTTACAGTGCTCCTGCCCCCACTCTTCCTGTCCATCATTATCTCCTTCCTTTCCTTCTTCACCTCTCAGTGCACATGTGCCACACAGGTTGTTCCAGTGCCAGATGCTGCCATGTACATTAGTACATGCAAAAATGATCTGGGAGTCTTAACTGACCACAAGCTCCCTAGAGTCAAGAGCAGGAAGAAGCTGAAAACTGATCTAACATACTCTAGGATGACATTAATAGAAACACAAAGCACAGTGCTTAGATGGGGCTGGTAGGAGGCCATGTCTTGTGGAGGGAGTCTGGCTGTATTTACCCGGAAAATTATAAATTGGTCCTATAATTCCTTGTCTAGTAATGTATCTTTATAAATAATTATGCATGTGAGTGCACATGCATGCACACACACATACACACACACACACACACACACACACAAAACCACCCCCCCCCCCCAATATACAGAAATGATGTTCATGGCAGCCCCGTTCCCAATACCATAATGCTAGGAAGATTATTAAAATCCATTATGGATACAACTGAATTCTGAACTCGGATACAGATGATAATGAGAATGATGAACAGTCCTGGGCTCACCTCCACGGGGGTACCTCCAAGACCAGAGTTAGATATAAAAGCAAGATAAAGACCCAAAAGATAAATACCCAACTGTTAAAGTGGAAATACTTAGAGAATTAGGACTGGGTAGAGGGGAAAGGGGAGATCAGTCCTTCTATACTTTAATGAACTTCTGTGGTGCTGGGCTGGTTTACAGTAAGAATGCATTACTTTTGCAAGTAGAAAGACCAGATCTGGAAGCAGAGCTGTGGCTGCCTGACAGCAGCGGCTGGCAAGGAGGCATTCTCTGGGCTTATTCAGAGCCACCCTGAACCAGAGAGGGTTCATATGAGCTTCCAATCAGCAGGGCTCTGCATGGCTACAGCTCACATGCCTGAGCTGGGGCTGCTGAAGGAACTGGGCTGTTCAGCATGCATAGAGACACACTATAGTCTTTGTAGGGCAGAGGGAAAGAGGGACCTGAGCCATTGATGACCCTAGGTAGGTACTAAAGAGACATGAAATAAAATCAGGCTTTCATAAGTAATGGGATTGCTCTGAAATGTTGCCCAGGGATGTAGTGAGCTTATCAGTCAAGTAAGTATTTCAGTAGAGGTTCCTGGGGCTGGAGAGATGGCTCAGCAGTTAAGAACACTGGCTGTTCTTGCAGAAGAACCGGGTTCAAATCCCAGCACCCACATGGCAGCTAACAACTGTCTGTAACTCCAGTTCCAGGGGATCCGACAGCCTCTTCTGTCCTCCTCGGGCATTGCCCGTCACAGGTTCACTTACCTACATGCAGGCAATATATGCACACACATTAAAAAAAAAATAAAATAGAGGTTCCTGAGGGTTGAGGCGGCTGGAGTAACTGCAGTCCCACACACAGGTCTAATGCAAGCACAGATCTGGCCAGCTGAACTCACAAGTATGTCTGAAGTGCTCTCAACTTCTCTCCTTGCCCTCTATTGCCAACTTTGATAGTTTGGGTTATCATGAAGCAAACATTTTCTTCTTTCCTCTCCCACTGTGGGTGAATAGACCTCCCATCACCAGTGTTGACAGACCAGCCTCAGCCAAGGGACTATGTGCTGGAAAATCTTGATTGTCAACCTGATGGGATTTGGAATCACCATGGAAACACACCTCAAAAGAGGGAGGATTCATCCAAAATATGGGTAACACCATTATATGGGCTGGGGTCCTGGACTGAAGAAAAAGGAAAAATCAAACTGAGCACCAGCATCTCTCTCTTTCTGCTTTCTGACTGTGGAGTCCATGTGACCAGCTGTTTCATACTTCTCCACCATGCCATCATGTATGATGGACTGCACCCTCAAACTATGGGCCCAAATAAATCCTTCCTTAAATGATTTTGTCACAGCAATGAGAAAAGGAATTAATACATAATGTAACTAGGTAAGATGTGCTACAGCTGTCTGCCCTCTCCTCATGCTCCCAGAATCTTCCACGAGAGTCCCCAGGCATCTGTCACTTTTTCAGCCTGGGCCCTGACCTGATCTATAGGGAGCATGCCCAGCCAACAGTTAGCCGGAAGCGGAGCTGCCCTGCCAAACCCAACCAGTCAGTTCCTCCTCAGGGCCTTGCATTTGTTCCCTCTGCTTAGAACAGCATTTCTCCATATCTTTGTGGCTGGCTCTTTAAAATCATTCATCTGCCTGCCACTTTTAATGTCAGTTCTTCGGAAAGGCCTTCTCTGAGTGTTCCAACAGCCGTCATCCCCAACCCTCCCCAGTGACTTTCAATCACAGAACCTCATTGCAACCTGGGATAGTCTTGATGCCAACTTGATTGGATTGTGTGATACCTAGAAGATTAGCAAAGCACACTTCTGGGTGTGTCTGAGAGCCTTTCCAGAGAGGATTAGATAAGGATAGAAGACCTTCCCTGAAGATGAGTGGCACCACAGGTTGGAGTCATATATGATAAAAGAGAAAGAACGATAAAGTCTCTCGGGTAGACATTTTCTCTCTCTGCTCCCTGGCTGCCATGATGTGAGCTGCTCTGCTCTGCCGTGCCCTCCCTGCCATGATGGACTGGAACCTCTGAAACTGAGCTAACATAACTCTCTCCTCCCTTAGGTTGCTTTTTGTTGGGTATTTAACACAGTAATGAGAGTCTTAATACAAGGCTTGAGGATACTCATCAGTCCACTGTTTCCTGCCTGCTATGTAGACTCCAACAGGTCTGCTCTGTTCATTGCTGTGACATTGGAGCCTTAATGCCTCGTGGCCCTCAGCAAGGTAGGCAGAAGCTAGAGAATGACTCAGTGGATGGATAAATATTTGGGACTCGGATGAAATAATAAAGGTCTAACGTGGTGGGGAAGAATGACTATCCAGGGTGCTCCACCACCCTCAGCATGACCCTGTGAGATCAACACTCATACAGAGTGAGACAAGGTAAACTTCTTCTCCTCCATCTGGACACATTGTCACCTTACTGCTGGCCCTTCCTCCTCCCACTTCCCCATGCCAACTGAGGTACCATGTGCCCAACATGGTGCTGTGTTTGCAGACTAGAACTGGGCTTACTAGGGACCAGCTAGAAACAAGGAAGGCATTCCCATGGGCCTCTGCCTGCTAATCTCTTTGACTTTTCAAATGTCTCCATCTTGGTTGCTAATTTCTTTAACCTTGCAAACGACCCCTTCTTGGCCTGCTAATCCCTTTAAAGTTACAAATGTGCCCTGCAGAAGTGAGAATGGGTGAAGTCAGAGTTCCCGGTAATGAAGTGTGTGAACTTGGATTCCTCCCGACATGTGCAGCACAATGAGATGATTTTCTCCCTAATGGGATTAGGAAATTCTATTAGCGCTCCTGGCTGCTGAGCTGCCTGCTTGAGGCTGGGACTCCAGAGCTGGGCCTGCCTGGCTCAGGGCTCCTAGAAGCCAGATACCCCACCCACCAGGTGATGGGTCATGAAGGACACAGATGACTCTGCAGTCCCCAAAGGTTTGGAGGTTCCTTCCCTTCACATGAAGCTATAGGAAGAGGGCACTTGGCAATGCATCCTGGAAATCCTTGGCAGACTCACATTAACAACACTCAGTAACAGTCGTGTGTTCATGAAGCGAGAGCTGGCCTAAGCCCTGGACCTGTTTCAACTCTCTTGGTCCCCACAATCTGCTGACGTGCATATTAATTTGATTTCCCCTTTGCAGACAAGGAAATTGAGGCACCAAGAGATTAACCCATACTAAGTCCCACAGCTGGTAGCCATGTGGGTGTGAACCCTCCCTCTTCAGCACCACCTCCACTTTCCTAAGACTTCCTGTCTGTCTAGTGGTTTCCTCCCCAAGTCCCTCTCCTATGTCCCCACACATTCAGTCCTTTCCTGGATGGGTTGTTCAGGCACTGTGTATGGTGCCACTGATTAGCCTTTCATGATTATCACCATGCTGACCATAGCTCCAACATCCCCCTTTGCTACTTCTGTTCCAGCCTCATCATGGTGCTTGAGGCCAGACAAGCTCTTCCTCAGAATCTTATTAGCTGCTGTTCTGTGACACGATTCCCCAGAAGACAGTAGTACAGTGTGTTACTATGACATTTGAACACTGTCAAAAAATATCCTTGTATGTCTTCAGTGTCCTAAACACATTAGCCCACGTAACACTTAAAACAGCCCTAAGATGGGTATTTTTCACCCATTTTACAGATGAGATTTCACATGCAAAGGAACAAAGCAACTTTTCCATAGCCATTCAACTAGTAAGCTGTGAGCCAGAATCCAAAGCCAGGGTACCTTCTAGAGCTTGAGCAGCGCTGCAACATCAGCCCTCTCAGCTACAGAAAGTCGCCTGGATCCCCTTCTTTCAGTCATTGTTTAAACACTTCCTAACAAGTGTGTGTGAGGTTCTCCTCTCCTCTTTTCCTGCTTCCCGTCCCTAGCACTTAATATCTAGGTTGGCATCAAGTTATTAGTCAGTAAAGTACTAAACTATTCCTAGAATCCTCTGAATGCCTTTTTGCCCCCTAGCCCTTGTCCCAGGCCTGCCTGGATTGCTAGTTCATGACCCACCGATCCAGAAGGCTATCACCTGATATAGCAAGTGGCCTCTGGACCACTGGTCTAGGGCTATCATGGCACTTTGGTTACAATGCTTTATTGCCTGCCAAATATTTCACCATTGCCCTCCACCCCTGCTTATCACTACCTCTCTATGCATTTACATACATATTTTTTTCTTTTGACTTTTGTCTGCCTGCCTTGATGGTATAGAAACTCTATGAGGGCAGAGATGCTCTGCTAGTAGGATACACAGTAGCTAATCATTGGTGAGTACTTTGGGGTCTGGTATTCATTACCAGTTTGGGAGACGGATTCTTGCATGGTGGGGCGGGCTCACCGTGTCTGGGGGACGCTCCAGCATCATGGGGTGGAGAAGATGGCTCCCTGGAGAAGTGGCTTCTGCGTCACCTGCCCCCAGCAAGGAGACCACCCCATTGCAATCCACTGTGCTGTTTCTTTTGCCATTAAGGGTGTGGCCAGGGGCTGAAGTCCCAGGGCTGATCTGTCCCTGGATACTGGGGCGGCGCAGGGGCCAGGGCACCAGCAGTGATGTGCGGTGGCTCTCACTCTCTCCTGCAGTGCTGTTTTCATCATCTGCAAAATCTGCCTCAGAGCCCTGATCCCGTCGTCGAAAGGTAAAAATGCTCCCTCGACTGGAGCGTGGCTTCATGGATGTCCTGCTGAGCCCGTGGGTGAGGCTGAGTCGATTCTGGGGGCACAGAGAGGATGGCATAATCCACACAGCTCTGCCCGTGCTCTAGCCTAACTCCATTTTCTGGCCACATGGGAATTGGGTGGGGATGCTCAGAAAGAAGTGAGGGTGTTTTCTGTATCTTCTGGGGTCTGTGCTAACCTCATGTCTGTATCTCTGGGGCTTTGACCGTGAAGCTGCTCTGGGATTGAAGATGGGGCTAGGTTGGGTTGGAGGAGGCAGAGGTGTGGCATTGGAGACAGGCTTGGTACTGGGGTACTCATGCCCTTCACTCGCAGGGGCAAATCCTTGGGCTCCTATCAATCCAAACTATGAAACTATGGAGTGTGCTGCCCCATCCCTCTCCCCATACTGGAGGACCGTTAGGAGGTATCATAATACTGAACCCCCCCCTGCCTCCCTGCATAGGGTTCTTCTACTCTAAGAATGACTACAGGAAACTAGACAGGCTGGGAGAGGCTCAAGGGTACCTTCTTTAGAGAGCAACCTTGGGGCTGACAGCACTAGGGGTATGGGATTTGCAGGTTACACCTGTCTTGCAGAGGTAAGAACCACATCCAGGGCTTACCAATGCTCTGGGACCATCTTCTGAGTCAGACTTGGGGAACCTGTCATCCCCACACTCCTCTGTTCCTGAAGACAACCGTTTTCTCCTCTTGCTCCTTCTTTCATGATTGGTTACTGGGGCCAAAGGGGACATCTCTAAGGAGCTCCGGGACACGGTATCCACACCCCTGATGGTGAGAGCCTGGAAAAGTTTGGGAGAAGGGGTGGTCACTGGGAGATTCTGTGTCGCCCCAAGCTTAGGAAAGCCACGTAACTCTCAGTTACCCATGTAACCCATCAGCAAGCAGACTTGCACACTTGACCCAGAATGGGGACAGCATGGAGATCATCTCAGGCAGACCTAGGCTGCTTTGAGAAAGATCAAGAACCTGGAAGGGAGAACAAGTAGCTCAAGTGGACAGTCCTTAGAAGGGAGGGATCATGGGACAAGTGAGAGGGGGCTGTTGGTGAGCAGAGGGCATAGCAGGATGAAAGAATTGGGGATCTTCCAGAAGTTCATCTGGCCAGGAGTGTACATGAAGAGGTGACGTGGGGTAGTGAGAGGAACACAGTCTGGTTTCTTTTCTCCCCCCTTTGTATGTGTGCATGTGTATATTTATCTGTGTGCGAATGTGGAGGCCAGAGGTCAACTTCAGGTGTCCTTCCTCAGGAGCTGTCCACCTTGTTTTTTGAGACAGAGCCTCCTACTGAGACCTGGGACTCACTGAGTAGGCTAGGCTGGCTGGCCAGTGAGCCCCAGGGATCTGCCTGTCTCAACCTTCCCAGAGCTGAGATTACCAGCGTGCCACCATGCTTAGCTTTTTATGGTGGCTCTGGGGATCAAAATTGGATTCTGCTGCTCACACGGCAAGCACTTTAATGACTGAGTCATCTTCCCAGTACCTTCAGCTTGGTTTCTAACAGCTTCCAACAGTCACCACATAAGACACTGTCAGGAACCATGGCAGAATGGCCAGTCCTCAAGTCTCTAACCTTAGACCTTCTTCACTACCCCATTAGAAAGTATACCTTGACCAGGGTAGGCTATATTTATGGACAAATATCTTGTATCTAGCATGTGCTGTGCTCACAGAGGCCACCTTTACCTAGAATCTACCACCTGTACCCAGCATATACTACCTTTATCTAGAAAACATGATGATCAGGGAACAATTTTACCACACTCACAGGGTTCACCTTACCCAGCAGATCCACATTTACAGGAAATCCCTTTACCCACAGGCACTGCCTTTTACAGTGGCCCTACCCAGGCTGCACCACACCTCCAGGTACTGCTCACTCACTTCATGCTCTTTCTTGAGCATCTCCATGGCCTCCTGGAAACGCTTCTCCTTCTCCTCTGTCTCAGCGATGGTGGCTTGGTTTTGCTCTTCGTAGGCCATGGCCACCACGGCCAGGATCAAGTTCACCAGGTAGAAGGAGCCCAGGAAGATGACAAGCATGAAGAAGATCATATAGATCTTCCCTGCGGACCTAAGGGTCTGGAGGAACAAAGGGGCAGAGGTCACCCTCACTCATGCCCTATTTGAGTTATGGCATTTCCAAGTCACCAGTCTGGCTATGCTAGGGGTCCAGTGGTCACCAGCCAAAATGAGTTTGTTTGATGAACGTAAACTAGTTTCTTTGCTTGGTGAACCCTGTTCCCTCAGATGCAAGGGTTTTTGCTGTTCCCTCCATCATTCTTACGAGTGGGAAGCTACTGGGGACATTTATAGCTAGTCACTTGTGCAGCCTGCCCTGAAGCCCATGCCTGGCATCCCTCTGCTGGCCCAGACACCCACATACCTGCTGGTAGAGGCGCTCCCAGCAGTCCTGTGTCATCAGGCGGAAGAGTGCAAGGAAGGCCCAGGCAAAGGAGTCAAAGCTGGTGTAGCCATGGTCAGGGTTCTTCCCTGCCTTCAGGCACCGGTAGCCCTCGGGACATGTCCTGTGGCCAGACACACACACTCTGTCCCATGCTGTACAGAACTCTCGCTAGACCCAGTTGGTTTCCCTGGGCAGCCCAGCCTATACCCAACTGCTCTGTGAGGCTGACTGTCACAACGTAGAGCCAGGTTGCGGGATCCTGTCCCTCATGATTGTGCTCCTGCTGTGTTCATCATGGACCACGCAGGTCACCATCTTCCTTTTTCCTCTACCTATGTGGAATCTCTAAGGCCTACATCCAGTTCCCTTTTGCCCACATGACACACCCTTCCCAGCAGTTGTTGCCTTTCCCCCAAAAGAAAGCATAGGTCTGTCTCATGCTCCTTTCTTGATTTATCTACCCCATGGGGAACTGAACACAGTAGGGGCCCCAGGAGAGTGAGGGGGAGCAGCAAGCTTGGCTAATCGCAGGCAGAGACAGGGTTTTAGGGTTGAGGAATGATCCTAGAGATGGAGCAGGTTGAATCTGGAGAAGTGCCTATGCAACATCACCATACACACACACACACACATACACACACACACACACACACACACGGATGGAATGGAAATATCTGGTATCTGTTATATGGTTTCAAACTTACTTAAATATATGTTATTTCTAAACAGGATCACTTGAAGAGGGTGGAATAAAATAGAATTTCTTTTACTAGTCCAAGAGTCATACTTTCCCATCTTTACATATTCATTAAGACTAATAATGTGCGAGAGAGAGAGAGAGAGAGAGAGAGAGAGCGAGAGAGAGAGAGAGATTGATCTAGTGGGAGAAATGTGGCAAGTAGGAGGATATAGCCAAGACCCTTTGTGGCTCCCTAATGCTCAAGACCTCCCTGACATCTCTCCAGAGATGGGAAGAACCAACAAATGTGTGCCCTAGAGCCTCACACCTGAAGCAACTCCCCACATGGTAAGCCCTTGTATACACACCCTGTCCCTGGCCACTGAATGCCGAGCCCTGGAAATTGCACCTGCAGATGAGGCATAACTGGGCACCACAATCAGGCTGCAGGCTCATGTCCTGTTTGGCCTTGAGCAAGGTCTAGCTGCTGGGCTGAGGCCATACTCACCCTTGAAGGGCAGATAAGCAGGAAGGGGGTGAAGGACTGGTCAGGATCCTGCAGGGCATCCTGGGTGACCCCCTCATGCCTACCCATCTTCAGGACTCTCCTGTTCCTATCTGAAGATTTGTTCTTGGTCTTTCTAAACCAATTGTTTCCTGTATGGCAGGGGAAGGGTAGGGAAGCTTCTAGGGTTCTGACCAAGAAGGAAGACCAGGAGGGCATCAATGTCTTAGGACAGGGGTGTCAACAGAAGGCACAGCAGCTGTGGAAGGAGCATCACAGTCACTGGGAGGAATATCCCACCTACCCGGCATCAGAGCTGTTCCCACACAGTAACACATCGGAGGTGCCATTCTTAAGCAGATAATTGACTGCAAGAAAAACAGTGGATGGTGAGAGACACGGACAACCCAGCCTCTGGATGCCCACTTTGCACTGAGCTTAGAGAGACACCACTTCTGGTGTCTCTTCTTTGACCCTGCCATGATCTTTACCCTGTCTGCCTTGATCAGGTCTTTTGCAACTTTGGCTGCTTCTCTGGACTTCTTCCTGTTCTACTATACTCCTCTGCCAGTGTCTCACACACTCTTGAAGACACAGGAAACCCTGGACAGGGCTCAGCTGTCTCCATAGGCAGCTTCTGCACCCTGTTCCAAACCACTCAGGGGCCCAGTCAGGGCCAAGAAAGGCCTTGAGCCAGGAGGCAAAGGTTCTGGGCCGGGCTCCAGCTTGGCTGTTGTGACACTGTGTGGCCCACTGCCACTGTACAAACTGGTAGAAAAGATGCCTGCTGGTCACCATGGCAACACAGTGGTCTGTTGAGAGAAGGCTGGGCCTGGACCAGGTGAGACACAGGATACCTGTCCTGTCATCTCTCCTGGTTGCTATCTGTCTCCATCACTCACAGTGACACACCTTTGACTAAGGAAGCAGTTTCTCAAACAGTTGTCCCTGACTAGCAGCATCAGTATCTGGGAACTGGCTGGGAACACTTCCCAAATGCCCTGACTCAGAAGCAGGCTGAAATCTGCAGTCTGTATTTTCTGGAACCTTCAAAGTGACTCTGGTATATGTCAAAGTTTTAGAATCATTCATTTCTGTGAGGCCATAGCTGAACTGTAACCATATTTCCTCACTGATCTTCTGTCTGTATGTTTTCCAGTGGCATGCTGGTGTACGTAAGAGGCCCTAACTTCAGAATGGCTCTCTGCATCCTTGTGGCTTGTCATCTGGTCTTGCCCCCATGTCTACCTTTGATCTAGATGGATGATGCTCATTAAAAGAGGTGGTGACTAGTAGCCTGGTGAATGGAAGTACAAACCACAGGGTAGTGAAATGAGGGGTATATGTGACCACACAAGTCAGCTTGTCACAGCCCTTTCATAGGGTTCTGGGGTGTGTGAGCATCGAAGTAGCATCCTAGTAAGGGACACAGTTAAAAGCCCTTCTTCCAGGCACAGGGTACCACGCAAGCCTCCCATGGGTCCCTAGGGAGGCTGGTCTCCATTATTCCCAGAACACTGGGCTCAGCCCATCCTCAAATCATCTAATTCTATCCAACCCCCTCTCCTTTCCTTATGTATGTGTGTGTGTGTGTGTATACATGTATGTATGTGCATATGGAGGTGAGGGGTCAGCGTCAGGTGTCTTCCTCAATTGGTTTCCACCTCATTTTTTGAGAAAGAAAGCAAGCCCCAGAGATCCTCCCATCTCTACTTCCTCAGCACTGGGATTATAGGTACATACCACCATGCCTAGCTTTTTAACATGGGTGCTGGGGATTGAACTCAGGTCCTCAGGCTTGTGTATCAGCCTGTTAATATGTTAGGAGCATCTGTAACTACTGTGCCCACAGCCCAGAAACAGGGAAACAGCTCTCTGAGCCATCTCCCCACCCTGAATCCCATCCTTTAAACATTATCTCTCCACTTAGTCTGGGAACCTGTGAGTGTAAGCCCTAAGTCTGCTCCATTTCTGTTCTCCAGCTGGCTCTGGAGTTCCAGCTGTGGGTGGGGTTGCATGGCCCTGGAGGCCTGCCTGCACTCTGGTGAGGCCTGGGCAGAAGACGCTTGACAGTTTCTTATGGCCTCCCTGCACACAGTGCTTGTCCATACCTGGGTCATTGAGGTAGAGGTCCAGAGAGACCCAGACCATGCCATCAGCCTCCACAGAGCCATTGGTGCCATTGAGTGCAGTGAAGTTGCGGACACACTTGTGCCTAAGGTTGCCCATAAAGAGTTGCAGTCCGATGAGGGCAAAGACACTGAGGCAGAAAACCGTAAGGACCATCACGTCGGCCAGCTTCTTCACAGACTGGATCAGGGCCCCCACAATTGTCTTCAGGCCTGGGAAGGTGAGACCAAGTGGGGGGTCACCCACAGACACTGCTCTACAATGCTCTGGGTGGAGGCCAGGCCTGTGGACGGACACTGGGCCTCCCTGAGTCCTGCACTGAGTAGGGATGGTGGGGGGAGGGCATCCACAAGGCAGAGACAAAGTGAGGGAGGGCTTGCTGGGCCTTTAAAGACCAATGTCTGCCTTTCTCCAGCTGAAGAGTCCTCTTGACTGCCCAGGCCAGGAGCCCAGCCTAGCCTTGCATTTTCAGAGGGGCATGGAACTCTTCACTCTCCACCAGCCAAGTATATGAAATGGTGTAGAAAGTGTTTTCTGGAGGAAACACAGACTTGAAGCTTGTCCTATTCTGGCTGGTCCTTTTAACGCAGCCCACAAGAAAGGAGCCTGAGGTCCAGACCTATTCTAAGGCAATGCAGGGACCTCAGCTTCATCCGGAGATGGGGAGAGACACAGCTGCTCCTGGTAGGGGGTCTTCCTGTTCTACTGCTGGGGCCAGCTGTTTTCAGGGGCACAGGGAGTTTTGATTATCTCAGGGCAACTAGGAAACCCAGAGTCTGGGATTGGGCTGGTTACTGTGTAGGGGAGTAGGGGCTGGGAGGATTTCGTAGGGTTGAATGATGCCCTAAGGGGTCTGCTCTGGGTTCAGGCCCATCTTTGGGCCTGGACTAGAGAGTAGGTTGACCTATATTGCATCTCGATCATTCACTCTGACCTTCTGAGACCCTCCCCATCCTTCCCATTCCCCAAAGCAGAGGGACTGTGATCAGTTAGTTGCACGGCCCAGCTCCCTGCAGAAGCCAGCGCCATACAGCAGAGTGACAGAAAAGCATGTGTAGACACATCCTGTCTGACCCTCAGCTACTGTCCTAAGGCAAGTGCGAGCAGAGCATTGGGAGCAAGGGGCTCCCTGTCCCCATCCCCCCAAGCAGCCAGATCTCAGATAAAGCTCCATCCATCCATCCATCCATCCATCCATCCATCCATTGTCCAGCCCATTAATATGTTAGGAGCATCTGTAACTACCGTGCCCACAGCCCAGAAACAGGGAAGCAGTGATGAGCAGACATGAGAGAGGGAAGAGGACAACCACCCCACAATGTCACCATCACTGCTGCCTGCCCAGGGTTCAGGCACCTGGCACTCTGTTGAAATCATCCTGGCACATGTTGGCAACTGCCCAGCAAGGGCTGAGGGGAGAGGGCTAGTAGGGGTTTGGCATGGAGTGGTGGTGGGACTCTACATACCCTTCATAATCCAGAGCTCTGAAGACCTAATGGGACACATGTCTGGGTCTGTTTCTCCATCTTGGAGATTGTGCCATATCTCAAGGGGACACATGAGGGCTGGTAGCTGTAGGTTGGATACTCATCTTGGACTTTGCCTTAACTATTAGGCTAAAGCAACTTTGGCCCAAAGCATCCCATTCAAGACTGGCTAAACAGTTGAGTTCTACTCTGGACTGTGTTGAGGGTCACCCACCCTTTAAAACCCTTCCTCATAATGAAGACAGACTTCATTTCTGCCAAGAACAGCTCCAGCCAAGTCACAGGATTCTTGGACTCTGACCACTATGACTTTGACCCTATGTGAGGACTCAGCCCTGGGGATTCCTCCTGCAGGGAGCCTTCCATTAGGCCGCTCACACCACGGTTCTGATGGCCACTCTGGGGACCGCTCTGCTGCCTTGCTCAGCTGCTGGCGGCTTCACAGACCCCACAGGGCTTCTTTCGTCGCTCCAGAATTCAGGAATATTTTTCTTTGTTAATTTTTCTTCTAAAACAACTAGATGTTACAACAGTAACAAGTTTATCTACCCCAGAGGGGTGTGTACCTGACAGGATGGGCCACAAAGCTACTGGCCACCTGAGGGTTCTAAGACCTGAAAATATCTCTCCCCATCCTGTCTCTGTTTGTGATATGGGATTGGAACTCAGGGACTTGCATGTTCTAAGCAAACACTCCATTCTGTCCTAAATCCCCAGGCCTTTATTTTTCTTAAATATTTTCTTTATTTTATGTGTATGAGTATATTGCCTACATGTATGTAAGTACATCCATGTTGTGCAATGCCCACAGAGGTCAGAAGAAGGCGTTGGACTCTCCTGGAACTGGAGTTACAGGAGGTTGTTAGCTGCCATGTGGGTGCTAGGAAAACTGAATCTGGGTCCTCTGTAAGAGCAGTCAGTGCTCTTAACTGCTGAGCCATCTATACAGTCCTTAGACCATTTTTTTTTTTTTTTTTTTGAGATAGAGTCTCACTAAATTGCCCAGGCTAGCCTTGAGCTCACTCTGTAGTCCAGGTCCCAGGTAAGCCTTCAACTTATGATCCCTCCTGCCTTAGCCTTGTAGGTAGCTGGGATTGGAGAATGGCACCACCAGACCCTGCTGGTATTTTAATGGGAGTGACTGGGCACTGCCCTAGTCACAGCAGGGGTCTAGGACACTAACTAGTTTGGGGACTGGGTAGATTGCTCCCCCCATCTTCCCTTGCATACACTGAATGGATTCAGAGACTGGGCAGGATATTCTAGGATTTAGTTTTTGGGAGCTACTCTTATGTAGAGGCCAGAGGTTGACATTGGGTGTCGTCCTCTGTTGTTCTCTACCTCCTTTTCTGAGATAGGGTCTCTCACTGAACCCAAAGCTGACCATTTCAGCCTGACTGGCTGGTGATTGAGTCCCCAGGCTCTACCTCGCTCTGCCTCCTGAGCACTGGGATTAGAGGCATGTACCACCACACCTGACTTTTTACATGTAGGTTCTGGGGATCCAAACTTGGGTCCTCATGCTTGTGCTGCAGGCACTTCACCCCCTGTGCCATCTCCCCAGCTCTCCAGCCACCTTCTTAAAGAAGTGTCTTGTCCCGTTTTGAGGATGGTGCACTCACAGAAGCTCTTGGAAGGTGCCTCTGCACACTGCCCCCACCCCCAAACAAGCTCCTCAAAACAGGAGTTTGGGCTCACACTAATCTTGGAATAGTGAATAAAGAGTGGGGCGTAAGAGGCTCCGGGGTGGGGGTGAGTGTTGTCATTCAACTGAGGCATCAATTCTGTACACAGGTGGGCTCAAAAGTCACTGTGAGGTTTGTGAGGCTTCTAGGTGTTTCTCTGCATGGACAAGTAGGATGGTGACTGGGTAGGTTGTCTGGGCTTAGATTTCCTGGGTACAGTTGCCAACATCTGTCAAGGAGGATTTCCTCCCAAGACTATCATGCATGGTTTGCTAAACCTCTACTGCGCCATGCAGCGAGGGCTGGTAGATGCCAAGGCCCAATGATGCCTGTCCACAGAGTACACTTCATGTCACAAGATGGGGTTTGAGACTCTGGCTTGTACATGTCACCAGAGGAGGCACAAGGCTGGGATCAGGCACTCAGTCACAAAAGACTACGGGAGTTCGTTTCCATTCTGTGTGTGTGTGTGTGTGGCAGGGGGAGTTTCTCTCAAACACCACACTTTCTGTTTTCCTGATTAGTGCATGATACTTCAAGCTGAAATGATGCATGTCTGAGCTTTTTGCTAGAAAAGCAGCTGAGTTCAGTTGGGAAAAACAACTGAGTGTTTTGGGAGGAACTGGGGTTCAATCCAGCCCTGCCATGGGGTGCTCTGTGCCTCTGGTGTCTAAGAATGGGCTTGACTGGGGTGGACAGCTCAAAGCCCATTCTGAGGTTCCAGTAGGACAGATAATTCCACCGCCCCAACCTCTGCGAAATATATTCTGGTGACAGGCACATTCGAAGGGCCTTCCTGAGGGCAGTACTGGCTCTCAGGCGGCTGGAAAGGCCCAGGCATTGCCCCTCCAGCCTTGGCATTTAACCTGATTTTTTCACCTGAAATGACTGATATAGTTTTCAGGGCCCGGAGGACTCGGAAGGTGCGTAAGGCTGAGACATTGCCCAGGTCCACAAATTCAGTTGTGTATCTGTAACAAGGGAGATTCACACACAACACAGTGACAACACGCCAATAAGGAGACACAGGGTCAGAGGAGGAGAGGGATGGGGAGACAGAGAGAGAGTCACTTGTAGCTGAGATCTGACAGGCAAACCTGGGTGTCTTACCTGGGATAACTGAAATAGTTTTTAGAGCTCTCAGGACTCTGAAAGTTCGAAGAGCCGACAAATTGCCTAGCTTTATATTTTCTGATACATACCTGTAGAACCAAACCACAGTTACTGGGAGTTACAAAGCAGAACCTCAGTTTGCCCACCCGACCAACCCTTTCCCTTCTCCCCGTCCCACAGAGGGGTACAGTGGCTGACCTGGGCCCTCCCCTGGGCTTTTCTCCTGACAGAACCTTTTGATACAGGACTTCAGTCTAGGAGCCTTAAGGACGTTCACACAGCAAGCTCCCAGATGGCTCTCTCCATGATGGTCCCAAGATCAACCGGCACTAGAAGCCAACTACTGTGGGGACTGAGACATAAAACCCCATGACCAGGTCTGAGGCTGGGGGCATATCAGTGTGAAGAGGGAAATGGCTTCAGGAGGTGATATTGGAAGCACATGGGCATCTGGTCCTGGTTTTTCTTTGCATCTTCTGTTGCCTGCCATCAGTGTGTGCTTGGCTGAGCCTGAAGCCCTGGCTGAGGCCACTGCAGAGGGACAGCTGGGTCTCTGGAGACTGCCCAATTGCTCCTTCCAACCACAAATCTCTTTGTGTAGGGAGTGATCAGGGACCAAGGTGTCACAAGGTGGAATGGCATGAGAATTCATGGGAAAAATCAGTCTGAAGATGGAGGCATAAGAAGAAAAAGGGAGTTTGAGCAGCTAAGTCAAGAGGAGAAAGGAGTTGAACGATGGTCCTGGCTCTCCCCAATAAGCCCACACACAGACTCAACTTGGAATCTTGGTATCCTCCAAGGATGGCCCTCGGTCTCCACTGGGGTGAACTCAGTCTTCATAGGCTCTGTCCTGAATGGGTCTAAGTGATGCTCGCAGGGCTGAGTGGCTACCAGGCTCCCATCTTGGACTTGGAACCATTGTCCATTTCTGGCCTCCACAGGCATAAGAGGCATTGGTCTGGAGGAGGGGTAGGGACCTGCCCAAGCAGAGTGTGAGGACATGCATGCAGTAGATGGGTCACATGACCACAAAGATAGCAGAGAGGTGAATGGACAGTATGTGACCAAGGCCATAGGGACAGTGGCAAATGACCTGTGATATTTAACCAAAGGCCTCACATTCAGGGCATCTGACATTTAACTGAAGGTGCCTGATGTTTAACAAAGAACGTTGAACTCAGGGTGTCTGATGTTTAACCAAGTGTGTCTGGCCCAGGTGTCTGGGAGATGCCAGGCCAGGCTGCCAGCCCTGCAGTGCTTGGGTGAGTGCCACGCCTATTCATTCCAACAGTCTGTACCTGCAGAGCCCTTCATACCACTCAGAATTTCCAAATTCCTCTGTGGGCTGTGGGTGTCCAAAGGCAAGGCTGTCAAGGGTCTCAGAGTTGTGGGGTCAGCAGGGCCAACTGCCTTCTAGGTTCACTGACACCCACTTTCTTGTCTGCTCTTGGGGTTCATCCGTCTTCACGGGGTCCTGTGGTTGTGTCCTCACCTTCTTAGACCCATTCCCAGCCTTTTCCTTCCTCCGGTCACCCCAGGCCTTTCCTTTGGCATAGTTTCCATTCCATTTCCCAGACTTACTGCAGCTTACAAAATCCAATGTAGCACTCAGATGTATCCTGTCATCCACCAGGGAGCAGAAATCACCTCCTTTTTCTGGACCATATACACTGGTTAATTTGATCCAAGCTCTTCCCTTCTCTTGGATAGCTCATATCCCCATGTCTCTGTCCCACATTATTTTCCTCCTGTCTAGAAGCCATGGGACTATGATGTTGAGCCTGGAATACAGCTGTTATTGCCATCCCATGAAAGCCATGGCTCAGGGGTTCCTGCTGCTGGTCTCTTGGGTGGAGACTTTGATGGCAACTGTCTTCCCTCCCCTCACTGGTTTCAAGGCTGTGACTCCTGGTTACAGGGAGGGAGTAGAACACTGCATACGACAGGGAACCAACCATCCTTGCTTTTTTCCTCCTGCCTGGCCTGGTTTGCCCCTTGGTGTCTCCAGGGAAGACCCCGTCTACCCTGCCTTCAAGGTCTCCACCAGCCTGATACAGTGCTTGCTGCCCACTCATCATCTGCTTCTTCGGCGGTGAGTGCTGAGCACAAAGAAACCAGGACCCCCAGGTGACAAGAACAGGCTGATGACAGCATTGGGGGAGGACATATCTATACTCCTGGCAGGCTTCCCACTGCCAGCCAAGTGGCTGGAAACAAAACACGAATAGAACACCAATCACAGGTTGGAGGAAGTCTCAAAAGACCTAGAACTGGGTAGGACAGGTGTATCTCAGACCATGGTGTGACACGGGGGCTGCCAGCTGTTTTCTTCTACCTAGAACTTGGTTGGCATTATGCTGCCTCCCACTTGGGCCACCCAGGTCTCCACTAACGCATCTCTTTGGGGTCCCTGAACATGGTAGGGCAGGGTAGACTCTCTCATAGCAGAGAGCTAGCTTCATAGGTAGGGTGGATGAAGCTGGTGAGGGGTGGTATGGCAAAACTCTCCCCCAAGCCAGTCTATCTCTGCTGGACAAGTGGCTGGCAAGGGGCAGGCAGCTAGGCAGGATCATAGGCCCCACCACAGAAAGAGCAGAGGGTGGTGGGTGAGAATTCTACCCTGCCACTCCAGCCTCAGCACATAGGAACCTTTCTAGGGGCTGAGGAACCCAGAGGAACAGCAAATACTGGCCTTCTTCCTGTGCCCCCCCCCCCGATCCTGAGACTATGGAGCCCACGCTGTTAGCTCCTCTGGCGACTGGCCCCCCTCCTTGGTGCCCTCCCTCCTTCCCCTCCAGGTTTGGTTTCCATAACAACCCCAGAAGGTGGGAGGCTGTGTTAACTAGCAGGTAATGCCCAGCTTGGGGGGGCACAAGAAAATCTGTGGATGTGGGGTTGCAAGCTGAGCCTGGCAGGATTCCCAGCACCCCCTGTACCAACTTCTAAATCAGGTGGGGGATCAGAGGGAAACCCAGCCTGAAGCATCAGCTGTAGGAGGCTGGGGGGCTCTCCCATCCCTGGCTAGGAGTTAAGACTCAGTTTCAATCTTAGCATTGCTGTGGATTCTTTCTATATTCTGGGAAAGTGGTAGGTTCTTTCTAAGCCTCAGTTTCTCCAACTATATAAGGAAGGGTGGATGGGGAGTTTTACTTCCTTCAACTTTTCTGCCATTCCAGATTCCTTTGATTATTATGGGGGCCCTATGTCATCAAACCATTTCATTACAACAGAATGCACTTCAGAAGTGGAAATGAATTTGCTTCCACCAGGCAGAATGGCTGTCAATCAGTACTACAGGGCAGGTCTGACCAGTGGCACAGAGCTGACATTCCAATGGGACCACACAGTCCTTGCAGAAGTGAACCTGCCATTTCCGTGGACGCTTGGAAATGTGGTGACTATCCAAGACTCTGGTCTGGCTCTGCTTTGCCATGCCTGGTTTTGGCACACAGTAAAGAGTGGCTGGGTTCAGTGGGAAGGTGTATTTACTCTGTGGTTCTGAGCAGGAGTGGTTGGTCATGGAATCCCATGGGGATAGCGACGGGGATTCTCTCATGAGGCAGGACTGTAGAGGCCTCGGGTCCTGAGGCCACATACAGCAGTCTCTACTGAACTCAGGCCATGGCTCGGTCCAGGATGATGGCTTTCCCTTGAGTCTGGGAGCATCTCTATATTGATCCTCTGCAGGCTCTGGGATGAGGAGGTAGGAGAGGCTTGGGCAGAGGCTGGCCCTATTCTTTCCTGAAGCCCACCTCCCCTCCCCTGACATCTTACAGGGTTCTTTAGAGCCAGAGCCCAGTCTGCCATCATGTTCCAACCTCCAGCCAGTGCAGCCTCCCACTCCCTCTCAAACCTCAGACTTGCCTCCCCACTCCATTCTCACTGATGATCGTGCTTCTTATTTCACAGAGAAAATAGAAGCAATCAGAAGAGAAAGTCGTTCTTCTCCTCATCAGCTCTATCAATCCACCTCTACCTCCAGCCAGAACTCTGCCTTCCCTGAGCTGAAGGTCAATGTTCCATCTCACCATCTGGATTCCCACTCACAAAGGATGCTCAAGGGCTTTGTTCTTGCAGGCCACCGCCCCCCACCCCCTGCCTTCATCAGATATCCCCTTTCTTCAGGATCATTTCCATCAGCCTGCCTTATTTAAAAGTCAGCCCTTGACCCCTATTTCCTTCTGGCCACCATGCCATTTTCTGTCCTGTTTCATAGAAACTCCATGAAATATATCTGTATTTCTATACCTCCCCATCTCTGAACCCAAGTATGGGGCCTCCTACTCCACTGGGACCCCTTGTCAGGGGCAGCAATGACCATCCCAAATCCAACAGTCCTTTCACAATCATCACCTTTCTCAACCTCTCCCTGGTGTGTTCCAAGTTGGGTTTTCTTCCTTGCTGGCTTGTGAGCACCACTCTCCTGAGTGTCCTCTGCTCTCGTTGGCTCACTCCCTCCAGTTTCCTATGCTCCATCCCCCTCCTTTCTTGACCTCAAGATATTGGTGTGCTTCATAGCACAATACAGCCCATGCTCTGCCCTACATGATCTCAGTTGTTCGTCACTGTCATCCATGTCCAAGTGGCTTCTAACCAACACCGCCACCTTGGATTACTTTCCCAAACTCCAGACTGGAAGGTTCTACTGCTCCTTAGTATCTCACCCTGGATACTTCCACACTTAAGATATCCCCACTCTAGACTTCTGACTCCCTCCCTTTTCAGCTGGCTCCTCCTTCTGAGTCTCCATTTCCACAAATTGTACGACCATTTATCCATCTGTTACAAGCAAAACCCATCAGTCTCACCTTCAAAATGCCTAGCAGTGACTGGGGCTCCTTACTCCACTTGGACCCTGGTCCCAAGACACAGCTGTCCCCCCTGGCTACAAAAGTACCCTGGTATTGGCTGTCAGCTGCTACCCTTTTCCCTCTCTAGCTTATGATCTGTACAGCTCAATCTGCTTCCGCTCATAGCTCTGCCCAGGTCTCCTCCCCCAGTGCCTACCATCATGCCTACAAGGGCAGTATGGTCTGCCCCCAACCCATCACTCTTCAACTTCACTTCCCATCATTCAGTTCTACCCAGATTTGAGGCAGGTGGCGCTGTCTGAGCCTCAGTTTCCTCACTTGTAAAACTACGGCCGAGTCAGTTCACGAACATACACCTAGGAACAGCTTCAGGTGAATTTTCTAACCACCAAGCTCTCCATCTGGGCAGGAAATGGTCCTCAGAGCATCCGAGTCCAGCTTCCCTCTTTGCTTGCTCTCCCCTCAGCATGGCTTGGGGATACTCATGTCTGGGATTAAGTAGAGAACTTGCTATGGATTAGGTGTATCCAAGAACCCAAGAAAGAGGGAGCTGAAATGAGCCTTGAATCCTACCAAGCTCTTCTGTGTAAGGGGAGACCCAGGGCTTATAGGGACAAGGAGTGCAATTCCCCATATTCTCTGCCCAGGTGGGAGCTTAGTCTGGCACATGCTGGGGCCTCACTCACAGAAAGGGTCTGCCAGCTGAGTCCCTGATCAGAACTTCAACATGGCAGTCCTGCCCTGATCGACTGTTTCACTAGAGCTTAGCATCCAAGAGCTTAGTATCCAATCTATGACATCATTGGGGGGATGTCTTAATCATACCCTCTGCAAGGATCCCCTAGGAAAGGAATCAAGACTTCATCTGGGGTTGCAGCAGGCCTGGGGTTACTTTCACCTTTTGGTGGGCTCCTTGTTTTCTTGTTGGTAAAATGGGACTAAGAGGTGTGTCTAACCTGTGGCCCAAAGGCTGCATACAGCTGTACACAGCCCAAGATAGCTATGAACATGACTCAACACAAATATGCAAACTTACTTAAAAATATCAAGATTGAGTGGTTCTCAAGTGTACTTTATAGATGTCATGTTGCAATGTTAAAAGGTTGGTCAGGACTGGTTGCCTCTAGCCCACCTCTTTGGTGTGAGGATCCTCTGAGCTGGGTCAGTGGCTTTAAGAGAGGCCATTGTTTAGAGTCTCCTGGCACGAGTTCCAGGGGATGCTGGCTGCTTCCCTGGGCTCCTTTACTACAATTTCACTATTAATTACCTTGGACACCAGGTCACTGGTCACAGTGAAATTTGGGGCTGGGTTTCTCAGTGGAAAGTACAGAGAATGCTAAAGCTGAACTTCTCTCTCTCTTTTTCTCTCTCTTTCATTTTCTAAGGTAGGCTCTTAAGAGTCTTGCTCTATAACCTAGACTAGCTTTAAACTAACTAACTAATTAACTAACTAACTAACTAACTAACTAACTAACTGGCCCAGGCTGATCTCCAACTCACTATATAATTCAGACTGGTTTAAAAAAAAAAAACTCACTGTGTAGCCTAGGCTAACCTCAGACTCACTGCAATCCTCCTGCCTCAGTCTTCTGAATGCTGGGATGACAGGTATGAGCAACCACATCCAGCCTAAAGCAGAATCTTAATGTCCTTTGAGCACTGGGGTCTCCAGATAAGCTAGGCGGCTTGAACACTCTGCCTCCTGGTAGACCTGCCCTCTCCCTACAAGGATGAGCTGTAGACCTCCAACCTGTCATCCTGCCACAGAACAGGACACATGCTCCTCAGTGGGGTGCACAGCTGATGTGAACTACAGCAGGGAAGCCCAGAGACTCTGGGGTATGGGACACACAAGTCCCCGTCCCCTATGTGGCTGGTGTGACGTATTCTGGCAAGTGAGCAAGATACTTACGCCATGACTATCACACTGAAGTCCAGCCAGTTCCACGGATCCCGAAGGAAGGTGAATGCATGCAGGCAGAAGCCTCGAGCCAGAATCTTGACCAGAGACTCAAAGGTGTAGATGGCAGTGAAGGTGTACCTGGGGAAGAGAGGTCAGCAGGAGTTCTCAGAGGGGGCAGAGCCCGCAGGCTGGATTCATCAGCTTCTGCATATGGTGTGAGCTCTGGGCAGAGCCACCATAGCAGGCTGTCTGCAGTGCCCTGTGATAAAGCTTTAGTTGGAAACTGCCAATCTGTTTCAAATACCAGGCCAACAAGTCCACCTGCCCATTTGTTTTAGAGAGCCTGCCACACGTGTTCAGGGAATTCTCTGTATTTTCACCACAGTCCTGGGGGATGATATGAACATACATACAGTGGTCACCAAGTCTGTACCATGGGCCATGAGGGGCAGAGTCACTGCCCCTCACTCATGTGTGTGTGTGTGGGTCCTCAGCAATAGCAATGGGGGCCAGGGCCAACTTCAACTATCTACAGGGTTGGGGTTGCAGTTGCCCACCCTGGACTGGAAGGAGTGCAGATGTCCTGATGCACAAGGCTGGTGGGGGTATGCTTTCTGCTTGGAGTAGCCTGAGAAATCCAAAATGTATGCATGCTGGACTAATGGTTAGGGGAGGGCAACCTCTTAGGTCTTGGAGCAGCTGGACACAGTCCAGCAATACCAGCCCTGTGTGGTCTTGACAGAAGTGATGAGATCAGAGGATCACCTGGCAAGCCACTTTTGTAAGAGACGGCAGCATATTCTGGTAGTCTCCAGAAAACAGCCAAGTTAGGTAAGGGCCTGATATGTCTGCCTAGAACCTGGAGGAACTGGGCTTTTGTTCAGGAAATAAAACCAGAAGCAGTTATAAGGAGGGAGGGCTTGGGTGGGGGCTAAGGCAATAGTGTGGTACTGAAGTAGGGTCAGTCCTGGTCTTTGCCTGTCACCATGTCCCCCACCTGTATGACAGGCCAGTCAGAATCCAATTCTCAGTCTGTCTCCCCATCAAATGAAACAGGTGCTCTACTGATCCCCCCACCCCAAAACAGGTTGTCAGAGAGTTAATAGAGAGGACGCTTACTGCTCTTGGGACAGTGCGTGGCATGCCCCAAGTGCCCAATAAATTATTATCGCTTCAGAGTCTTCTCCAATGCCATCAGTCCTCTTTAGGGATGACAAGGAGTCCCCACTTTGTCAGTCTGCCTCTAAGGCCACAAACTTAGAACAAGCAACATGGCGGGACTGGGAAAGACAGGAGGGCAGGGGCTGTGCAAAGGCTACCCCCAGAGGGTGGGGCTCTAGGTATGGGTTGGGGTGACTCTAGTGTGTATGGCATGGTAGAAAAGGAAGGGATGGGGCAGAAGGAGAGGCCCTTGAAGATACTCACTCAACATATTTGGTCCAGGGCGGAGGGTCATGCTGGGCCATGAACACGCAGTTGGTCAGGATGGTGCACATGATTAGCATGCTGAAGAGCGTGGCACAGCAGTCAAGGAGAGCCACCTCCACAGAAAGTCACAAAGGACCGCTCCCCCCTCCCATAGAAAGCCATGGGAGGGGCCATAGAAAGTCACAGAAGAAGCATCATCCATGGAAGGAGGCCCAAAGAAAGTCATGGAAGGGGGCCAGCAAGGCACCATAGCTGCTGAGGAGCCTCCCTGGGGCTGGCACTGCCAGGCAAATGCTTTCAGGATCAGTAAGGGGCTCCAAGAGACCCCCTCTATCACCAGCCCCTGCAGGGCTGTGACTCATCTGTGCCAACACCTCTCTGATGAGCCAGCTAGTCTCAGTCCCCTCTAGGCAGTTGCTGCTAGAGCCTTGACTTGCTCCACAGCTCCTAGCAGGCACCAGGCACCTGCTACCACACTTTCTACAGTTGTCTGTGGGACCCAGTATGGAGGGAAAGGACACCCCAGACCTCAGGGATTTTGATTCCTGTCCCCAATCACATGTGAGGGAGATGAACATTTATAAACTGTTCCTCGGGTTAGGGAAGGCCAAGAGGGTCTGTAGGACCCCAAATTCCCTCTGTCGAAGGTTTAGCTTAAGAGCACATGCCTGGGGGATATCCACTAGCCCTGGGGAAGCAGAGGACCATGTCCTTGCTCAAGTCTGGCCATTGTGCCTGCCCTTCACTCTGGTACCATGCCCTCCCTTGGAAACTCCTTCTTGCTCTTCAAGAGACCCCCTCAGCAGGAAGGCCCCAGCCCTCACAGACCACCTTGACTGTTGGCTGCTGCTGCCTCACACCCCCAGAAGCCAGACACCCCTCTTTTACCTGTGACTGTTCACCGAATGGCAACGCCCATCTGTCTCCCCACAAGAAGGGGCGCTCTGAAAATACTGGGTATCCTTGGTGTCCTTATGGGACCTTAGCCTTGAGCTGAGCAACCCTAAGTCTTATCTGAACAACTGCCTCCACCCCCAGCTGGATGCTTTTTAGAGTTGGATAAAGCTCCGAGTGACCTCTTCTATGCCATCACTTCTACAAGATGCATAAGCAGGGGGCAGATTCTGGGCCTCATGAGGCTGGAGTACTCTAGAAGCCTGACTGCCCTCACCAATCCATCTCTTCCCTACTTGAGACTGCACCTCCTACTCCCTGTGGTTGCCCCTAGGCTCAGGACACCACAGCCAAGCCTCAGCCCTGCACAGCTGCCAAACGGCAATTCCCATGGGCAGCCTGAGAGCCGCAGTAATTGAACTCCAGGGGCCTCCTCTTTCCTCCTTCATATAGCTCTACTTGCCTGACCCCAGGCTGGCACTTGGTGATGTCTGCCCTGGCTGGGGGTGTGTATGAGGGGACCTTAGCTTAGTGGATGCCCTTTCTGCCTCCAGGACTCCTTCTAAGGAACAGAGGCAATTAGGGAAACCAGTCTACCATTTATGTTAATTCAGTTTCTCACCTGAGTTGAGAGGTGATCAGGGCCCTTCATCAACTCAGGGCTGGTCCACAAGATTGCTCAGCTCTAGGCCCTGGGGTCCCTCCCTAAAGAGTTGCATGCAGTCCTGTCTGCAAGGTCGCTGTTCTAGCTAGCTTTAATTTTAATTTTTAAAAGTCAACTTGACACAGCCTAGTCTTCTGAGAAGAAAGCTTCAATTGAGAAATTGCCTAGCTGATATTGGCCTGTGGGAAGATTATCTTGATTGATAGGAGGATGTCTATGGAAGATGATCTTGATGTAGGAGGGCCCATCCTACTCTGGGCAGCACCATTCCCTAGACAGATGTCCTGGCAGAAAGCCAGCTGAAGGGCGACAGAGAGAGAGAGAGAGAGAGAGAGAGAGAGAGAGAGAGAGAGA